TTGTCTCTTTTTTTTCGGGTGTTAACTAACCTTTGTGGACACATTGTTAGTCTACAGATTTTTCCTATATTGCTTATATTTTGATTGGGTATCATGGTAGATTTTTTGTAACAGTTAAAATATTTACCTTATTTCTGTAAGAGGTGGTTGGCAAAAGGAATATTGACAGCATCTTTGTTATTTGGCTGGTGTTGTATCGTGATCATAAGACCCTCCACCATGATGTTATCCTCTTTCTGTTCTCTGTTTAATGAAAATGTGGTGATGATTGAGGACACCACATTGATATTGCTTTTGTTGTCATATCTTCGGGTTGCCCTGAGATGCTTCAAATTCTTATATCATGCGGTCAGCATTATGATTTAAAAAGGATTTAGACTCATATTCAAACTACCTTTAAAGAAGCAGAGCCATTAATCATGCAGCTTATTGGTTTATTTATGAGCTTCTACTTTGGAGGAGTTAACTTTGTGTGTTGTGATATGAAGCACAAATATGGCTCTAGTTTAAATATCTGTGTCTCTGTTTTCTTCCTTACTGTTTATGTACTTGGATACATAACCTTATTAATATGCGGTACTGCTATTCTTTTTCTTTCTTTCTTTTTTATCATAAACGAAAAACATTAAGAGGGAGAGGGATATTATAATTTTGTATGGTTCCTCAATCCTCACCCTTCCTCCATCATGTATGTCGATAGAGGTCTCTCCTATTAGAGGCCTGCATGGTTTGGTTTGGTTTTCTATATGAAACCAAATTAAAAAAGTGGTTGGGTTCGGGTGAATCAAATCAGTTTTTAAAAGAGGTTCGATTTCCGAAGAAAAATGTGGTTTGTTCGAGGTTCAGTTCAATTTATTTGATTTTTTTTATATTCTTAAAAATGGATATGGTTCGGTTCAGTTTTTAGACTGAATCAAATTTTTAAAGTAATTTGATTCTTAAACCCAACTGATTTTGAAAAAATCATTTGGTTTTTGAATTAGTTTGAATAAAATGATTTATTTCTTGAACCAGTTCTAAAAAATATAGTTCTTTTAGTATGATTTGGATCACTTCAGAGTTCAATTCATTTGGTTTTTTTCACCCCTCTATCCCATATTCGATGTATATATGATCAAAATTTCTTATTATTTCAAAGATGGAACAGCATATGAACTATCCAAGATGGAGGGACAAATTGACTCACCTGAAATACTACCTTTCAAACCTTTTGGTTGCTAGTTACATAGGGTATTGGGCAGGGTTTTTTATTTATTTATATATATTGGTACATATTTTTTATTTTTAACCCCCACACTCGCTAGTTTTAACCGGGAGTTTTTTTATTTTATTTTTTTATTGATGTAGGTAAGCATCTTCTCCATTTCTTTTATATATATTCATGTATCTATTACTTTCTTGCTGTGAAATAATGAGGATGTTGACTTGGTGATTAACTGATAGCGTTATGTTTTTCTTGATCTCTGTTTCTCTTTAACCAAGAACTCTATGTGGTCTTACGTCTGTTGATGAGTATTAGACTTTTTTGTTTTTAAACTAATTTAGCTGCTTTTCTGTAGGAGCTGAATGACATGACACAAACAGCTACTAAAGCAGAAGATAGCAAGAGTGGAATCAACACAAAAAACGGATGTCATTTTCTCATATTTAAAGTTGGGATTCTATTTTCTTATGCTGTCGTAGATATTTATCTCCTACTATAGACACATGATGTGGTGGAGCCCAGTACCTATTCAGAAAAAGAAAAAAAGAAAAATAATGATACAATTTTTGATGTGAGGACAACATGAGATAGTTATCATGTAAAATGAGATAATTATTTTTTTTAAAGTTTTGGATATCAATTTTAAAGCTGCTAGCAGAGGCTAGAGAGGGCTCTGGAGGTTGATGTTAGAAAACTGGTTAGGACTCCATATAAAGAACAAGGTTGATGGTATGTTATCCATCAAGGAAACATTTTGTCTTTGTGCCGTATAGACATAGATTTGAGGCCAAGGTTCTTTGTTGTTTAAATAATCCCTTTGACATGTGCATATGGGGAATTCTGTGGTGATTCTTTATCGTGGTTACTTTTGCACATTTGATATTATTGATGATTATTGGGTTTGGATTATTATGACATGAATCTCCAGGTACAAACCAAGGGGAATCGTAGAAAACTCACATGTATATTAATTCACAAAAGTGGCTTAATTTGTGTTACATGAATAATGTACCTATGGCTAAAAGGATATACCCTACTGAATATTGAATTGGTATTTGAAACTTATAGTCACTGGTTCAGTGGTAGTGAGAAAGAAACAGAAAATGGGTCTCAGTGATTTTAAATTGTGGAATCCTCTTGTTTTATTTCTTTTTCTCCCATTAAATTGCTGGAGTGGTTGAGTACTTGAGTTGCAAATGTTGAATCGAGCTCCATCTCTGATATACTTTGTTGCATTAAATGCTTAATACTTGGTCAAAAAGTATATTTCTTCAAGATGTAACCCTTTGAATTGTATTAACAATGAGAAGAGTGTATATGATTTTAAATAATACAAGTTGTGTCATTTCATATACGTAAAGAGGTAAGACCTATACATTTATTTATTTTTTGTCTTTATTTTTTTTTTTGATAAAATTCACACCTCTTTGTGTCTATGAAATGATACAATTTATATCGTTAAAAATGACACGCACCTTTCTTATTAATAAAATGTTTGTGTAACGCCCGGCCGCTTCAAGAATCAATGACTATCCCCACATACTAACACGAGACTTTTCAGCGTGCTTTTTCCTCACTCGCACACTTCTCGGGAAAACTTCCAAGGAGGTCACCCATCCCAGAATTGCTCCAAGTCAAGCACGTTTAACTGTGGAGTTCTTCCGATACGGCTACCAAAAAGCAGATGCATCTTGTTAGTATAGGTAATACCAATTAATTCTTATAAGTTATCACAAACTGTGCAGTCTCACGTCTGCACAGTCTTTGGAATCACTCTCTTTCAGGTGTCGATTCGATTCATCCTTGCATGTAACCCCCGCTGGAAGCCTGTCAGGAGCCGCTCCTTGTCCATGCCCTTTCGCACCGGCGATCACTCCCCGTCCTCGTCAGCGCTCGAGATGTTACAGTTTGCCAAAGATCGGATGTTAGCCCATAACGAACAGGAATTGACCCGTTGTTGCTATAGTGATATAAATAAGTAAACAATTTGGAAAAAAAAGTTATTGATGGGATTATTAGTTTAATGTTATCAACTAAGGTATGTACACAATTTCACATGCCTTCATGTTTCTCTTGTTTTGGGCTGTCTCGATTGTCAATGATGACTACAACAACCCATTGTGGGAGCGGGAGATATTCAACAATACTTGAAGCCATGCTGTTAGAAGTTGAAAACAAACACTGTGAAATTTAATTCATGTCTTACGTAAAGTAGATGGGCTACAACGTTCCTAAAGATATAGATATATTTATGGGAAACAATTATCTCATAATGCTAACAGACACAAAGTAGTAGGGTCCATATTATTTTTTGTTTTTTTATAAATGGTGGACCTCGCTATTTTGTCTCTGTTGCATGAGATACAACATGAGATTAATAAATTCCTATATTTATTCCAATTGAATTTTGTTGTCCACACCTGATCATCTTTGCCCATTATATACTGTTCATACAATGGCATGATGTTGTTGACTCGAATAACAAGTCTTGGGGTGATTTTCTCTCCAGCTTTACAAATTATTAATTTTATCGTTTTGGGTACTTATCATTTCGCTTTCACAATGTTAGTTGCTGACTTTCCGGTTCCAACCACTGCTCAACATGACTGGCCTTTAATTCAAATATTTCGTTTGGTACACAAACTTTGAGTGAAAGGAAAAGGACTAAGGAAGAAGGAGAAATAAAAAAATAATAGTAATAATCTTTCGTTTGGAGTAAAGGAGAAGTGAGGGATTACGATAGAAAGAGAATATATGGGTATTATAACAACTTATCCCAGAGTAAATTAATTCCTTATGTTTTCATCTATTTAAATACTAGTTACACGTGTTTTTATAATAAAATTAAACAAAGAAAGAAAACTCTTTTTGTTTTTTTATTAAATAATAATATCAAATAAAATAAAAGATAACCATTTTTTACTTTTTCTTTTTTTTATTAGATTCCTTCTTTTTCTTTTTCTTTTATTCTTTTTGTTACCAAATATAACATCACGGTTTGTAGAAATTTTCCACTTTTTTGGCATTAGCAGGTTGCTCCAAAGTACAGACAAAGGGCCGTCCTCTCTACGGAAGAGTGAACCGTGTAATGTACCCATTTTTTTTGTTGTATTATTGTTATGTTATCGATGTTTGTTGACCACTACAATGCGTTTACTAGGTTGCATTTTGTTGTGCCCAAAGCAAATTCGTTTTTTACTAATTTCCCAATACAAAACTTGTCCCTCTTACAAACAAATCCCACCATAGCCTCTCTCTTTTTCTCTTTTTGGTAATAAATAATTTTTTTAATTAACCCAACCCTAATTATCGAGTTAGCTATCTTAATTTTGTTTATAAGTTTTGATTTTTTGAATCGACTATAGCACTAATCCGGAGTGCGGAATGAGTCAGTAACGAAAGATACATATGAGAATCGAACGAACTGAGCTATTTCTTTTTCACTTACTCAAATACCTTACCATTAACTGAATTACTATATGATATCTCACACATTTTTTCTTTTTATAATTTTGTTACAGTTACACAAGAAGCATATGTTTGATTTGATTAAATTTCAAAAAGAATTTACTTTAATTATAAGTTATTTGAAACATAAAATAAATTAATCAAAGAGTATTAAATCTTTGACAGTTTGACTTTGACCTGATCACAGATACATCCCACACAAATATAACCATGATACTCTGCATCACCACCATGTGAGATGCCTCAAGAAATCAAACAAAGCAACACTTGGGAGATTGGAAGTTGATAAAACTAAAAAGAGAAAACCATTTACATTATATCTATTGTATGCAAAAAAAATCTGAATAAAAAGAGGGGGAAGAAAAAAGAAACAAAAGAAAAAATAAAATAAAATAAATCTGGATCTGTCTCACGTGAAATGACATTTCGCATCAAACAGTGGGTGGCTGAAGACAAATCCTAGGATGGTGAATCTGTTGAAGCTGTAAACTTTTGATTGCAGGCGCACCTGATCTTCTTTTCCAAAGACTATCGACCATGTTACCACCTTCTTCAAACTTGGGCACTCTCTTAATCACAGGCAAAGGAGGATCCATGTCATCAATGCTAATGGGAACAAGATTCTCATTTCTATTGCACTTATGATTTTTGGACACAACTCGTTGCCTAGCAGTGGAGGCTGTGGTAGTTGTGGCTGTGCTCAAGTTCTTAGCAGAGAAGAGTTTTTTGAGCTTGACAACTGGTGAGGTTGTGGTGCTGCTTTTACTACTGCTTGTGAAACTGAGTCTGTGTGAGGTTGGAAAGCCAGCAATTTTGTTGTTCCTCTTGACCTGACCCATGCAACCGATTCTTGGGGATAAAGGGTCATGGCATGTGGAGGAAGGACGGTTTATCCACCGTGGAAGACTCACGTCTTTGATGGATGGCCTTGAACATAGCATTGGAAGGAATGTGCTTCTTTGATGGTACAATTGATGATGGTGTTGATGGTTTTCATTGCCCATCTTTTCTTTATTCTTAGAAGACCAATTTCAGAGATGTGTGTGTGTGTGAGAATGGTTTCCTAAGAGTTTGAGGTTTGTCAAATATGAGGAAACTCCCTTTTACTTGGGACAAAAAAAGAAATAAGAATTAAGAAGGGGACAAAATAGAAAAAGAGATATGATTGCAAAGAAGGAGCCTCATCGAAGACTGGTACACACGCATCAAATGGAGAGGAGAGGACCACTCTGTATTGGAATTCAGCAGAGGTAAGGTTTTGTCTCTCTGATTAATTAACCTCTTCAATACAGATTTATTATCTGCAAAGGACTAGTTATTACAGCTACGCCTACCATCTCCCCTCTTCTTTCTATCTCTCGGCTGAGTGGTGAGATCTGAATCCTAACAACAGATAATGGTAGTGAAGTACACCCGCTTCTATAGTAGTAAAATCATAGGCTGACCAACCCTATGTCCGGTGTCATTTTTATTTTTTTTTAATAGGAGAAGGTTGGACCAAGTGTACCAACCGTTCTAATGTAATTTTACTTTTTTCTTTTTCTTTTTCATATAATACCGTTTTCAAATATAACATAGACTACGTATCAAATATATATATATATATATACATATATATACATGTATGGCTTATCATTTCTTAAGTTGCTTGAGAGAGAGAAAAAAGAAATCATAATCATTTAAGAGTGAATCAATTAACATAAAGAAATAAATAAATCAAATGACGTAGTTTTGGGGTAGCCAAAAATAAACTTATCTCAAGTGCCGGAGAAATATTTTTTCCATATATATATATATATATATATATAATACGAGATAGATTATTTTACCTATTATTTTTCTACCTACCATTATAAAATACCGTTAGATCATAATCTTAACTAATATTTATCTTTTTCTCTCTTCTTAAAATTTTGATCTAACAATGTTTTACCGTGGTAGTCAGAAAAAATGGTAAGTAAAATAACTGTCTGATATAATACAGACTACGTTGTAAGTTCCGTCAATTTTATTGAAATCAGATTGGTTGTTGACTCAGCTAAGACATTTTATTGAGTCAATCACCACGTTGCCGAATCGACCAGTTAAATCGTATTTATATAAAATCATGTAATAAATATACGATTTTATTATTCTTATGTTTTATAAGAAAAAAATTATTTTCTATATATACAAATTTAAGATAGATTCCACTCTATTTTTTTTTTACAGTGGACCCCATATGCACAAACGAGTATGTTAGACATAATAGTTTATTCGTATTACATGAAAAAATTATTACCCATATAGAATATCTCCTGCAACATAAAATTTATTATTTTCATATATCGGCTTTATTATTTTCATGTTGCATAAGAAAAAAACTATCTCCTATACATACAAATTGAAGGTGGATCCTACTCTACTTTTTTCCTTGCTTTCCCTGACAGTGAACCTCATTTACACAAATATAATAATAAAAGGTTTTTCAGTTCAAGGAGAGTTATACTTACCACCAGTTAAGTTTACTATTTCTTACTTTTAAATCTTAACCGTTGATTTCTATCAGTTTAATGGATATAATCTATTGAGAATTAATAATTAATTAATAAATACGACCTAATAAATTATAACCGTTAGATTAAAGGAAATCAACGGTTGAAGCTTGATGATAAAAAATGATAAATTTAATTGGTGGTAATTGATAAATATAACCTCTCCCTTTAAATTTTAATAACAAAATCTTTATAGCCTAGTGAAAAAGTGTTGTTTGCAAACAAAAATTAAAAAATCGATTCATTTGAAAAATGGGTGCCGGTTCAATGTTTATAGCATATCCATCAGTTTGATATGGGGTTGACTGCAGTACTGCACAATCAATCCGTTTACTGAAAGTCTGAAACGAACCGGCTCATTAACTGGTTCCTAAGTCCACATCGGGTGACCCGGTCCGATGTTGATAAAAATAAGTCCCACATCTTATACTAGCCTTGCACCCTCCATGCGAAATTACCATATGTTGTCCCTATGGCCTATGCATATCTAAAAAATTTGACCATGATTTTGGTGTGGCTAATTTCGCAACAGTCTTGCATAGGGGCGTGAATTAGCTATAGCTAAATGATGATTAATTTTTGTTCAAAATAAATCTAAGACCCTACCAACATATGACACATGGCAGTCTCGCATGGGGCATGTGATACTATTACTAACTGCATTAGATTATACTTAAACATCGACAAACTGTCATTTTTTTGATAAATTTTTTATCCAAATGTCACGCGAACAGTATTTTTTATCAGACTGTCACGTAACGTAATTCGCTGTGACTGGTAGCAAACTTCGTTCACCAATAGTTTTGTGACACGTGGCACACTTTTGCAGGAACAAGCTGACTGGACTAAGTTCGCTACTAGTGGTAGCGAATTTGGTACGCAATATAGTCACGTGTCACGAAGTCATCGGCGATGAAGTTCGCTACCAGGTGTAGCGAATTTCGACACGTGACAGTCCAGTAAAAAGTACTATTTACATGACATTTGGATAAAAAATTTGTCAAAAAATAACACTTTGATCGATGTTCCCGTTATACTATACTCAATATTGATATTATTTATTTATTTTTAAAAAAAATTATATTCAAATGGTTGTTCTCCCTTGAGGTCACTTTAGTTCATCACTCAAGATGTGTTTCATTATTAAGTTATTTTTGATAAAAATAATCTTGAAAACACGGCACTTTTATGTTTGTTATAACTTTTTTTTCTTTTTTTGTTTTGTTTTATTTGTTTTTTAAAAAAGTGATATTTTATGTTGTATTTGATTTTTTATTCATATAACAAAAGAGTGTGTTATTTTTCCACGATAAAGAGTGTGTTTTATTCTTAGAAATGTTAAATATCAATTAAACACTCTTTAAATATACTCAAAACAAATTTTTATTCATAATATATTAAAGTATACTCAAAACAAAAGAGTGTGTATTAAAGTATCATTACTAAGAATATAAATAATACACCTTAAAACAAAGTAATCAGAAATTTATTATGAGGTATATTATCAACTGGGGAAAATTTGTGCAATATTTAAGGTGGGATTAGCACAAAGAAGTTTTATGATTATCCCTGCGATGAAGATAACCTTTTTTGGGATAATTACTGATGTTACACTGTTGTTCAATTTGTTTTATTAAAAAAAAACAGATCCCAACAGGTAATAAATTTGGGTATCTTTGAATTCTGTTTTTAAAAATAATTTTTTAATTTTAAAAAAATTAAAAAAATTCTGTTTGGTAAGTCCTGTTTTATAAAAATATTTCTAAAATTTATAATTTTTTTTTTAGAATCAAATTTAAAGAACATATCTAAATTATCTTTATTTTATGTTTTAATTTTTAACTTTAAAAATACAAAAAATACTTATTCTATAAAATAATTTTAAGAATAAAAAAATCAAAATACATTAAAACAAATTAATTCTCGGTATTTGCAACAAAATTTCTAAGGGTGTGTTTGGTTCAGATAATTTTTTTTATCAAGGAAATACAATTACTAGAAATTTGGTGGAAAAATAAGTTTGATAGAAAAATTGAAAAAAAGTTGTTTGATCGGACAAAATTTGACCAGAAAAATTTGATTAAATTTACTGAGTCTATGTTTGGTTTGAAGTAAAAAATTAATGGAAAAATAACTTGAAATTACGAAATAACCCTTATATAGCAAACAGTGTTGCCTAATAAAGTATTCTTTTCTCTGTCTTCTCTCTCTGTCTGGTTTCAAAATCGGCAACCATCTGATAAGGCATGAGGTTCCGGTGGTGTGAATTTTCAGTCCTGTATACAAAGAAGCTTGGAAAATATTTCTGGCTGTTATGCATTGGAACAAAAAACGAAAGGGGTAAAGGGGGGGGTTGAACATCAACCATTAGCAGAGGAAACTTGAAATAACAAAGGGAACTTGAAAAAACAAAACCACAATGTACAACTCGATTTGGTCGGCAGGTCTCACTTTCGTGCTATTGTATTTTTGGCATGTAAATGGTCCCCTTTATCCCGTTAGCACAGGGAACTTGAAATACCATTTTGCGAAGAGTCTTTTTCAATAGTGTTTTTTTTTTTTTTTTTTTTTTTTTCATTTTTACATACAAATGTAAATGGCTAGGCAACACCGATACATGGAAAAAAAAATTTCAAAAACTTTAACCGAAGAAGAAAATCCAAAAAAGACACAATCAGATGCATGAATAAATTCTACAAAAAAACTGAATCAAACATCTCGTGTCCAATAGTCAAAGATAATAATCTCAGTAATGGTAACAAGTATTATAAGGAGAGCCACGTTCACCAATAAACCAATAATTCGGTGAGGGCTTTATTATATGGGTTTTGCGTAAAGATATGCTCAAGACATTGAATATTGTTTAGAAAAAAATAAGTATTAAATAATTTTCTCTTTATTTAACACTTTTCTTTATTTGACTCATTAAAGTCAAGGAAAAACTGTTTTGTAAATTAAATGTGTAAAATATAAATAAATCAATTAAAGCAAACGCAAGGCAGTGTAACCAAAAAAAAAAAGTGAAACCAACAAAGTTGATGATTAGATTCTAATAGTTAGTAAAACTTTCACCAAAAACATATATCATAGTTAGTAAAACAATTAAAATAAATATCATTGTTAATACTATTCAAGAAATGTATACGTAATTTTACTTAAATTCATGATTTATCATATGTGTAAATATAAAAACATTCGAATGGTAATGTACACATAACTTTATTATTATTATTATCTGAAATTCATATTATAATATTATATTGGATTTAATGTCTCTTATATTGTAAGAGATAATTTTATCTTCTAAGTGTGCATAAAAGTATGTGAGACTCGTATTTTCTTTTCTTTTCACATGATCACATATGGATCTCACATATTTTTATATGTGTATAAAAAATAAATTTATCTACTACAACATGAGAAACATCAAATCCCATTATATTTGATGAGAGAAAATGGAAAATTATTAGGAGATTGTTATAATTAGCAATTTTTAAATACAGTTTAAATTAATAAATTGGAATAATACCTCAATACTGTAATCAGAGGTGGCAAAGTGGGTTGCCCGCCCTGCCTCGCCCCAGCCTGTCATAAGCCCGCCAAAAAGCGGGCTGGCCCGCCCCGCCTTTGAAGATGGGCTAAAAATCTTAGCCTGCCCCGCCCCGCCCCGTTTGGGTGGGCGGGACAGGTTGCCCGCCAAGCTTGTGACATTTTACATTAAAAAAAAAAAACAGCCCGGGCAGACGGGCAGCAGGTTTGAAAAACTCAGTCCGCCCAGTCCATTTTGCCAGCTCTAACTACAATGCAAAATAAAATAATTAGTGTTTGACCAGAAGACATTTTCATTGAGAACGGTATTAATAAGCAAGTTGGTATATATGCTTTTTTTTCTTTTAATGTGTATTTTTAGGTATTAAAATAGGGGAAATAAATTTAATGCATTTTTTAAGTTAACATTATACAAGAAAACTTTTGTATAAATTTAACAGAATAATATTTCTCGCAGTTACTACAGATAAGTTATCTGTATTTACTCCCAGAATAATGTCATTTTGGAATTGAAAAATTAAATAATTATAATTATAAATATTGTAATAATCCTGAAATAAATTAAAATTACAAAAATATCAAGATTTCTGCCCCAAAACGATGTCATATTAGGTTTACTGCAGAAAAAGTGAACCCTAAATTTAATATATTTAATAATCTTCTAAGAGGTAGGATCCTTTGACATCAGTGTCAAATTTAAAATTTCACACTTCATCTGAGCGCCTTTAGAAAAAAAAACAACAACGACTCTAATTTGTAAGCATGTGACACCATTGATCTTTTTTGATCTGACGACTCTCAGATGAAGTGTCAAATTTCAAATTTGACACTGGTGTCAAATGATCCTACCTCATCTTCTAAACTCATTATGCAATCTTCTAGCTATACAAGCTGAAAAAGTTATTTCAAAATAATATTATCTTTAAAATGAATAAAGAATATATATTTATTATTTAATAAATTAACATACAATATACTTTGAATTTTATTAAAATAAATAAATACATTTTTATTTATTTCTTTTAAAAACAACCTCAGTTATGTACATACAAACGTGTCAAAAACATGGGAAAGGGGGTAAGATGGTTCAAACTTCAAAATTTGAAATGTGTATATTTGACTTGTAGTTGCACAGTCAAACTGTCTCGTAATTTAGTTAGCGTGTTTTGCGGGTGGGCCCACCACGTCATGGCACCCTCGCAGTGCTTCTCCGACCTGGTCTTTTCTACCTTCGCCACGCAATGTGTGTGTTCTTATTTCTTATTTTTAAATATAGTAAATACTTTTTAATTTAATAATTAAGAAAATTAATAACATGATTAGTTTTGAAAAGTTAACAGTTATTCGTACGGGAAAAAAAGTATCTAATGTTACTTTAGATAACTTTATCTAATGTTCATCAAAATGACGTTGTTTTGGAGTTAAAAAATTTAAAAATTAGAATTATAAAGACTATTATAACCCTGAAATAAATTAAAATTACAAAAACACCATTATTTCTGTCCCAAAGTAACGTCGTTTCGATGAACATTAGATAAAGTTATCTAAAGTAACTTTAGAAAACACAAACCCTATTCATAATTCATGTATTTTTTATTGATGAAGTAGAAATTTCTTACAATGATGATGAATCAAATTAAACTAAAAAGTATATAAAACGGGGAACCAGTCACATGGGAAGAAAATTGATTGCGATCGATAGTTGATGCATTTGTTTGCGGCCGACACGCCATCAATGTCTTCATGTGGGAGGCACGTGATCACACACTTTTGGTATTTTATGATTGGTCATGTAGGTTGTATTATAAAAAAAAAAAGAAGAAAACATTCAGTCTTTCGGTGACGTTCTATTTTCCTTGCCATAAAACTTGCTTTAATTCTGCTTAAATTGATGAACATCATAGTTTTAATTCTGCTTAAATTTTAATTTTTTTTGACCTTCATATAGTCTTTCAAGTTACCCAAAAAATTAGAATTGTTTTTAACGAACCAATTTAAATACTAAATAAAAAATGTTATAAGATTGGAAGAAAGGATATTCTTACTACCAAAATCTTCTACTACTAACTTACTACCTATCTAATCACCATTGAATTGAATCAAAAAGAGAGAATGCTAGAAAGTTTTTGAAAAAAGAGAAAATGTTAATCCAATGATGATTAGATAGGGAGTAAGTTAGTAGCAGAAGAATTTAGTAGTAAGAATATTCCTCTTTATAAAATTGTACTCAAAATATTTGCCAGTAATCCCAAGGGAAAACAGCGAAATTATTCATTTGCTGACAAAAAAGTAATAAAATTTCCGTAACAATAAACAAAGTAGGGAAAGAAAGATTATATAACTTCTTGTATCTTGTTTAGGATAGAATGCAATGTAAGAGCTTAGAATTATGGAAAGTTGGCGGCATGCTCAGGTGTTATTGGCAGTTGCCACGTTTCACACACCTTTCTTTGGTCATGTGATCATGTCACCTTCCTCCCTCATAATTTATTACTTTGAGTGTTATTCATGGTTGAATAACTTCGAAGAGAAGCAAGAGAATTTGCTTGCTGAATCAACTTTCTCTGTTATCAATCTTTTGAAATTGAGAAAATTTGAAGGAATACAGAGACCTGAAGCTTAGTAGATTGTGCCCATGCGTGGTAATAGATTAAATTTTATTTTTATTTTTATTTTTTATCTTCCAGAAACTCTCACAAAATATTATCAAAAAATAATTAAGCCAAACACATTATCCCAAAAAAAAGGAAAACGAAACGAAAAGAAAACAGTAAAGATTTAAAAGTTTTTAAAAGTTAAAAAGACATATTGTCCAATTGAAACGGCTCGAAAAAATAATTAAAATTATTGGTATAGTACAACTATAAAGTAGAATAGGCATGTATCTGGCCAGTAAAAGTGAATCTACTATAAACAACTAAACATAGCTATAGCTAAAGATTGTCTTCAAAGAAGAAGACATGCATGTCTTTGAACTGTGATCCCTATCTTCTAGGCTACACGTACTTTATAAATTATTATTCAAAGTGTCCAATTAATTACTTGTTTGCCGAAGATATCTCTATGGCAGGGTGTGAGCATGAGAAGAAGTTTATCTGCAAGTTTAATATGCCCCCACGTTGATTCTAGACCTGAGAGAAAAGGTCAGAAGTTTATTTGACGTAGAACCATATGCTAAAACAGTGAAATCCAATCTTAGTCTAAAGAACCAATTCAACCAAAAGCTTAAGCGGTTGGGTCAGGCTCTTTTTAATGATTTATATTAATTTCTAACACATTCCCTCACACAAGAGCCATTTGGACTTGAAGTGTGGATATTGCACAGGCTCAATATTTGGTTTATCTTCTTGTGCTTTTTATTTTAATTTCACTTTAAAGTGGTAGCGGTGAGGATTAAACTTGTGACCTTGTAGTCATCTCAAGACACACAGAAATTTGCCCACAACTATTAGTTAATATGTATGTGGTTTACAAAAAAGGACGGTGAGTGTGGTGGGTGGTGAGGCTCCATACCTTGTATAATACTTGCAATCTTGCATTATTAAGGGAATAAAACTTATTATAAGAATATAAGAGAAAGAGACAAGGCAGTGGTGCTATCCAGCGTTGTCAAATGAAGCATAAGCTATTTCCTTGATATGGTGGGCAAGATTTTACGTATCGATTCCAAATTTCAAATCAAGCTCCCTTGAGTTAAAACACGGAAACGAAACAACTCTTGGAAAGTTAGAATTGGATATGCATTATGTCCTCTCACTCAGACTATTTTATTTTGTCCTTTTTCTGTGTATGACATTTATATTGATTGGAGATTGGGTTAGATATAGTCGGTGAAGGAGCAGGGTGATATAGTTTTCCAGCTCTGATGGCCCAATTTCCTTCTGTAATTTGTAGTTAGCACCAAATGAAATGAAATAATTTACTAGAAAAAGCCAATCCGTGCAAACTAAACCACGGACACAATACCTAGACAAAATTAAAGGGTATCTTTATTCGTTCATGATAGTAAACTGTGGCTTACAATTTGCATTCCCGTACAAATGCAATGTTTCCACATGGTTAAGATCTAACTTGTCCCCCCTCTAGAATCACTTTTCTTGATCCAACATATTGCATATTCGCCACGAAGTATTTGGGAGCTGAATATACGATTGCAATATTGTCGACTATAATTGATCAATTTTAATCGATTAAGTCATCAACCAAACACTACTGCCACTATGAGATGGATAGAACCACCTTTCTCAATGTTTTGACATAACTTATCAAGATCAAACTACATAAACTTCGAGTTAAAGGATATATACATGAACATTACCAATATTCACGGCATACAGGGTTAATCGAACTAATCTAGATTCGCATCTTCTTATTCTTTATCCATTGCAAAACCAAACGCAAAATTTATATTTGTTGCAGTTCTAAAATCTATTTTAAGAACAATGTTACAGAGGGCATAGTGGTCATGGTAATGCCATTCCACGCATTAAGAAAGAGGGCAGCTATCACAAGACGGAAATATAAAATAAATTTACATGAAAAAGAGTGAAAAAATGAGGGGTGGATGATAAACAAAAAAAAAAACAGAAGAAGAAGAAGAAAAGAAAATCGTAGGTAGTTCCAATTTGTTAAGAGGGGGCACCACCCTCAGGTGCAACTGCCTCATCCTGTGGCAGACCAGATTCAATTTTTTCCTCCTCAAGAAGTGAAACTTTATCTGAACTATCCTCTGGTGTATCAGTAGAATTTTCTGATTTATCATTGGCACCTACATCTCCACCATCTGAAGAATTTATTGTGGTTTCAGCATGGTCTTCTTGATCATTATTTTGGTGATTAGACGGAGGATGGGATATAGGAGAGACGCCTAACCCCTTGGAAAGACATACATACTTGAAAACAAGTTGTTTGTAATTATTTAGCAGGTCTTCAACATCACCTACAGTTAGGTCACCAGCACTAGCAAACAAATATGGAAACTCCCTGAAAATTTCATTCACCTTATCCTCCTTTAAAAGCATACTTGCCCCTTTGTTCTCCAAATCTGAGAGGGATGGAACTTTTGTGATCGAAAACTCATCTGCAAATGTCACTTTCTTACTTTCTGATTTTGCAACAGATGATGGAGTTCGTAATGAAGGGTCCTTATTATCATTCAAAGCTTTATTTTTGTGCATAGTAGGTTCTGCACTTGGATGAAGTCCATAATTTTGATACGGTGAACTGGGATCTTGCGTATCCACTGAAGGCCCAGAAAGAAGAGCACGAGCAAATTCCATGTTTCTCTCAAACTCAGTTTCATCCATTGAAATGGCTTTTGCATCAATGTTAGAGATGAAGGACTCAGCAGAGAGCATGTTTGTAAAATAATATGCTGCTTCCGCAACTAATCGAGATTGGCGTCTAAACCTTTGTATGTACAGCAGATTTGAGTGCAGTTGGGGAGGGTTTGCCTGCATAGAATCATTAGTGAAAGAAATTTTGTTTAACCGTAAAATCAAGTGTATCCACATTAAAATAGCACCTAAAATAGAGTTTATGATACACTAAGACAATGTACCATTGTATTTTAAGTGTCTCACAGAAATCTGTCTCACTTATCTAGTTTCATCATTCTCCAGTTTTGAGCAAAAAATAAAATCAAACAACTTTGATAGAAAACATTGCAAAAGATAAGGTCATATAGCTTGGCACCATGAGCAATTCAAAGGACTAAGTTCTTTAAAGCAAAAATATAATGCAACCAACCTCCCAAAAAAAGGATATGCATATTTACGGGCAACATGGCCATTCCATGTTGAATGGACCAGTGCATGCAAGATATATTTCAACACCCTTATCAAAAATTATCTTGTGAAATAAGTGACTTTACATAACTCCACAAAATTACAAGCTTCATTTGTATAAGTGAAGTTCATACAGCAAGAAAACAAGGCAAAGTAATATAGTAGATCATAGGAAACACTAGAATAGAACTGTGCATATGCACAAGTCACACCCATAATTTTTTAGAGAGTGCAGGGAGTCATAACACTTTCTCAAAAACCAAATTACTTTTTATGCAGGTATCTATTTGTGAAAACACGTTGGAATTACCTTTATGGTAACATAAATTAGCACAGGAAGGAATTCATCAGCTCCTGGAGGATTCTCTTTGGAAGCAACAGAAGCATTAAGCAGCAAGTTACCAATAACCTTGCAACAATTCAAGATACAGACAAGTTTGTCTCTGGGTGCCTTGTACATGTTGATCTTCTGTAATTCTTTCTGTGCAAGCTGCCACCATAAGAATAAGACAGAAAATATAAGATTCAAAGAAGGCAGGAGTATATACAGAAAACCATAAACAAGTCAAAATTATAACTTTAGTAGCTAAAGCTGCAGAAAAAACACTAGTTACGAAGGATTCTTATAGGACACTGGAACTTATAGAATTAATTACAAAGTAATTATAGAATTAATGTGGTAAAGGGAAGAGGCTTAGCTTAAATAGTAGGAGGGGGCAAAAGGGAGATTTATTCTGAATTTTTAGCTTTGGGAAGCACTTTGTTGAAGAGGAAACACTTGGAAAGAGAACTCTCTCCTTTCTCTGTTCAGATTTCATTCACCAATAATATATCCATTTTTTTTCTTTCTATCTCTTATACTCTTCTTCAAATCTTGTTTGTGGGTTCATTAGTACAATTTGGTCCGACCTCCCAGATCCTCATTTGGCAGACATGAAATCAAGAATCGAAGCACTGGAGAATTCTATGGAATTTCTAAAGAAAGTAGCCAGCGATCATGGAGCTCAGTTGTCTGAAATCGACAAAGTGTGGATGGGATTGATGTAATCAAGCAACTTCTTGGAGGATAGTAGCACCAATGAGCAGCCTGTTCACAAAGGGGTTCCACCTCCTTCAAACAAGCATAACGAGGAGAACGTTTAAGGATCCTTTGGGATGCGGTAGTGAGAATCTTGTTCTTGGGTAAGAAAGGACAAGTTATCCACTTTTGCTGGCAGCGATCCTTTGGAATGGATAGCAAGGGCGGAAAGATTCTGAGGTACAGAAGATCAAAACATCAGAGAACATGCAAATGGCTTTCATTAGCATGGACGGACCTGCTGTGTATTGGTTACCATTCTGGCAAAAGAAGACACTCAACCTGTCTTAAGAAGAGGAAGGTTTTGCGTCAGCTTTGATTCAAAGATTTGGCGGAAAGAGTAGGAGAAATGTCTGCAAAAGGCTAACCACTCTGCGATTTCATGGAAGAGTACATCCAAGAATTTAAGGTGTTAGTTGTGCAGGCTGCAGCAACTTTGGAGGAGCAATTGTTAGGATATTTTCTGGGCCTGTGACAAGAAGTGAAGTGTACAGTGGAACACACAACCCAAGTGATGTTACGAAGGCCATCAATCTGGCCTAAGCAGTGGAAGAGGTGCTTGCAGCCTAGAAGCAGCACAGTCAGACTCCCAAATCCACCTTCCAATGTTGAGTCTCAGGAACAACTCAAGAGGAGGAATCGTGACCCGCATGGGGGTGAATGGGTCGGACCCAATAGGTCTATCCAACGTGATGCAGGTGCAGATAACATCAGACTCAACCAACAGTGTCTACAGGCCAAATCAACTTTCAGATAAAAGTTCACACAGCCAACCTTTTGGCCCCAAGCACAAATTATACAGAAAAAAAGCAGGTGGGTTACCATTTAAGCATAAGATGAACAAGTGGAGGAGGATGGGTAAGATTATCCAAAATGGGGGGGGTCCCAATTTCCACCTTTAGGACAAAGTGTAACTTCAAGGAAGTGGCATTTGATACGACCTTGGAAGTTATAGGATTAGTTCCAAAGTAGTTATAGAATTAGTTAGGTGGTTATACTTATAGTACTAAGGGAAGGGGCTTAGTGATTCCCGATCTCTCATACTATTCTTCAATTCTTGTTTGTGGGTTCATAACAAATTCTTCCAGCATTTCTGCCTGCAATTGAAAAATTTAAGTATTTACAAACTGATATAGTGACTACTGAGAGCTCAAGGATGCATCAAAAAGAAAATTGATTCTTAGGAAAAGCTTGGCCAATCAAGAATATTATCCTTCAAACTTCAGAATAAACCCAATAACCATGTAACTGAAATAATTGAAATCCAACGTGTGACATACTCACATACCCAAGAACCACTCAATCTAAAGATGGGGAAATGATGACCAAAAAACAAGTAGTAACTAATAAGTAAACTGTGGAGAAAGCATACATCATAACTTATCCAGTGCTAAAACTAAATTATAAGAATATAGATCCCCATGATATGAAATTAGACCGCATAATTCAAGGTGCTTATGTCTCACGTCAAAAAATCAGTTAGTTGTTCTGAGGGGTTCAAACTTGGAATTTAATTATGTATTTATCAATAAGTTAATTGAATCTGAATATTATTGTATATTCAAGTGTGTATAACTGTACAAGAAGGCTCTCTATTTATAGAGACTAAAAGACCTAATGGGAAGACCTAATGGGCCAAGCCCACAATCTAGACTATTCTAATAATAATAGATTAATATTATTTCTAACACTCCCCCTCAAGCAGGTGCGTATATATCAAAAGCTCCCAGCTTGTTACAAATATGATCTATTCGAGGACCTCTAAGAGCTTTAGTGAATACATCCGCAAGTTGATCATTGGCATTGACAAATGCTGTCTCGATCTCCCCTGACTGGATCTTTTCTCTAACAAAATGACAGTCAATTTCTATATGCTTGGTCCTCTCATGAAAGACTGGGTTAGAGGATATATACAAAGCGGCTTGATTGTCACAAATGAGCTTCATAGGCCGTTGTTCACAAAGATGGAGTTCCTTAAGCAATTGTCTCAGCCAGATGAGCTCACATGTTGCATTTGCCATTGCCCGATATTCTGCCTCCACACTGGATCTGGCGACCACAGTTTGCTTCTTACTCTTCCAAGAGATCAAATTTCCTCCGAAGAGAACACAATACCCTGAGGTGGATCGTCTATCTGAAGGAGAACCTGCCCAGTCAGCATCTGAATAACTAGAGATCTCTGAACTCCCTTTATTTGTGTATAATAAACCTCTTCCTGGCGCCTTTTTAATATATCGGAGAATTCTAATAACTGCATCCCAATGGGAGTCACAGGGAGAATCAAGAAAATGACTTGCAACACTCATTGCGAAGGAGATATCTGGCCTTGTCACAGTAAGATAATTCAATTTTCCAACTAGTCGGCAGTAGCGACTAGGATCTGGCAGTGGCTCCCCCTGTCCTGGTAATAACTTAACATTGGGGTCCATAGGTGTATCAATGGGTTTACAGCCTAACATGCCAGTCTCATCTAGGATATCCAGTGCATACTTCCTCTGATAGATGGAAATGCCCCGCCTAGACTGTGCAACTTCGATCCTCAAGAAATATCGAAGTCTGCCAAGATCTTTGGTCTGAAATTGATTGAATAAATGCTCTTTCAATTGATCAATCCCGGTCTGATCGCTGCCTGTAATGATAATGTCATCAACATAGACCAGGAGATAAACGCACTGGCCAGAAGAGCTATACCGGTAAAAGACAGAATGATCGGCTTTGCTTCTGATTAAGCCAAAGGATTCAACAACTGAACTAAAGCGGCTAAACCAGGCCCGAGGAGATTGCTTCAGGCCATATAAAGATTTCCGAAGTTTACATACCATTCCAGAACTCTCCCCCTGAGCAACAAAACCTGGTGGTTGCTCCATATAAACTTCCTCCTGCAAGTCACTATGTAGAAAAGCATTCTTAATATCAAGTTGGAGAAGGGGCCAGTGATGAATGGCGGCAAGGGCAAGAAACAGGCGAACAGAAGCCATCTTAGCAACAGGAGAAAAGGTATCCCCATAATCAAGACCAAAGATCTGTGTGTATCCCTTGACCACTAAGCGAGCTTTAAGGCGATCAACAGTGCCATCAGGACCAACTTTAACTGTGAACACCCATCGACAACCAACAACAGACTTCCCGGGAGGAGCACGAACAAGACCCCAAGTGCCATTGGAGTGAAGTGCCTGCATTTCATCAAGCATCGCCTGGCGCCACCCTGGATGAGATAGTGCTTCACCTGTGGTTTTAGGGATGGAAACAGAAGAGAGACTAGAAACAAAAGTAAAATGTTGTGAAGAAAGTTTGTCATAACTCAAGAAAGAATAAAGGGGCTGAGGATTTCGAGTGGATCGAATACCTTTCCGAAGGGCAATGGGAGGAGTCTCTGATGGAGGATCCGGAGGAGAAGAGACGACGGGAAAGGGCGATGAGTCATCAAGAGGCAAAGTCGGAGGAGGTGCAGGCTGACGACGCTGGTATGTGAGGAGAGGACGATCTACAGGTATGGAGGTAATGGGTTGCTCCTCTGGAATAGGGTCACCTGTAGCTGGAAAAGACAAGTCAAGAAAAGGAACAGGAAGGACCTGATCAACCTGTGACACTGGAGACGGAGTAGAGTGAAAAGGCTGCTGATCAAGGAAAGTGACATCAGCAGAAACGATATAACGCTTGAGATCAGGAGAATAGCAACGATACCCTTTTTGAAAACGTGTATACCCAAGGAAAATACATTTAAAGGCCTTGGATGTCAACTTGTCTTTACCTGGAGTAAGATCATGAACAAAACAAGTACAGCCAAAAATATGTAAAGGCAGAGGATAAGAAGGTGCTCCGGAAAACAAAATACTGTGGGGAACATCATTATTTAGCACAGAAGAGGGCATGCGGTTGAATAGGAAACATGAGGTGATAATAGCATCTGCCCAAAAACGGAGTGGGACATTCATATGAATGAGAAGGGTACGTGCAGTTTCAACTAGATGTCTATTTTTACGTTCAGCGACTCCATTTTGTTGTGGAGTGTGGGGACAGGTAGTCTGGTGTATCGTCCCATGTGTATCCAGAAATTTAGAAAATTCAAGAGACACATACTCTTTTGCATTATCACTGCGCAAGATTTGAATAGAGGCACCAAATTGAGTTTTTATTTCTGCACAAAACTTTTGATAAATTGAAAATAACTCAGAACGATTTTTCATTAAATAAACCCAAGTGCAACGGGAGAAATCATCAATAAAGGTTACAAAATACTGAAAACCCAAAACTGACATAGTCCGACTCGGACCCCAAATATCAGAATGAACAATAGAAAAGGGAGCAACAGCTCTCTTATTGACTCTACTAGCAAAGGAAGAGCGAGTATGCTTTCCCTGCTGACAAGACTGACAATTCAAAGACTTCAGACCTGACAAAAAAGGAACCATATGGTGAAGCTTCGAGAGACTTGGATGACCCATACGGCTATGGAGAAGCTCAGGAGACTCTGTGAGAGAGCATGCAACTGGAGCAGAGGGTGCATGCAGATAGTAGAGACCTCGTGACTCACTGCCAGCTCAAATCTTCTTCCCCGTACCCGGATCCTGCATAGAAAAAGACTGTTTAGAAAAGGTGATAGAGCAAGAAAGAGAATGGATCAATTGACTAACAGAAATTAAATTAAAAGGAATGCCAGGGATGTAATAAACAGAGGTTAAAGTCAAGAAGGGAGTTGGTTTGGCTTGCCCAATGCCACGAGCAGGAGTCTTGGTGCCATCAGCAAGAGTAACAGAGGGAAGATTATTAGAAAAGGTAAGGGAAGTAAAGAGATCCTTATTACCACAAAGATGATCAGTAGCACCTGAGTCTATTATCCAGGGTCCAAGAGACGATTGAGAAAAACAAGCAACATGATTACCAGTATCTGGAGCAGGTGGCTGAGAAGAACTCTTCTGGAGAAGGGCCTCATAGTCTGCAGCGGAAATAGTCACTGATCCGGTAGAGGGCGGCACAACATCTGTTTGAGCAAAGTTCATATGTGGTGGCTTCAAGTGAGGGTACTTTCTGTAGCAACGTTCTTCAATGTGGCCCAGATTTTGGCAATAATTACACCGAGGCCTTTGTCCTCGGCCACCCTGTCCATATGACGTCGTCTGTCCGCGCCCGCCTGGGCCATATGATGTCACGGGTCCGCGACCGCCTTGTCCGCGGCCACGACCACGTCCGCGTCCACCATTGTTCCAATTACCACGAGAGATTAAAGCAGCAGAATCAGACAAGAGGGCAATAGAGTCAGTAGCTGGCACGTGTGCGGGGGCCACCTTATCTTGAAGATTCAGAAGGCGCTGAAAGGTCTGGGATATGTTGGGAATCTCAGTACTGGTTAGAATGTTCTCACGAACACTTTCTAATCCGTCAGGGAGACCAGAGAGAGTCGTAAAGAGACGCTCCACTTGCATCCTGTACACTGTAGCATCTGCAGCATGAGGTAACATAGCCAAAAATTCCTGCATCAAAGAACGAATCTTACCAACATAAACTTCCATACGAGCTTCGGGTGATTTGCGCAAATCCATCATCTGGGAGACAATGGAATAAAGTTGCTGAATATCATTGGTGTAAAGGTTTTTGGCTTCCGTCCACACATCATAGCAGGTCTCAAAGGGAATGAAAATATTGAGAAGAGATGAATCAATGGATTGCCAAAGAATACTGAGGAGCTGAACATCAACTTTCTCCCATTCAGACGTCTGATCTTTGGAAATATCAGTCTTCTTAGTGGTGAGATGTTTGTCATGGCCTTGACTGGTAAACCAGATCTTAACGGAGGTAGACCAGGTCTTGTAAATGGCAGATCCGGTCAATTTCAGAGTTGTGATAGATGGAATAGCACTTGAAATGATGCCGGAAGGATGTTTACTGGTTCCTTCCATCAGAAACAGTGATCAGACGACCAAAAAACGGTAAAAGTCACGCGAAAAAGGAACAAAGTAGCAACTTTTGCACTGGAAACCCCCGAACGTCGGATCTGGAAGGAGGAGGCAGAGGCGAGCCTGTCTGCCTTGGTTTGGCCGGAAAAGGTGGCCGGAACAGTGCACACGCGCCGGAGAGAGGTGGCGCGTGAGGCCCACGCGCAGACAGCTGTGGTGGCGCGTGGGGGCGCGTGCTGCGGCCGTTTGGGACGGGTCTTGGACAGAAACGGTCGCCGGCGTGAGGGGATCCTGATCGCGTGGTTTCTCGCCAGAAAGGTGGCCAGAACAGTGATGAACAGTGACGGAACAATGTTTCTGGCGATGTGAACAGTGTTTTCCGGTCAAATAATGAAGGAGGATGACGATCTGAGATCGAAAAAAGGTCTAACAATGTTCGGAGGGTTGAAAAAGGTTGCTGGTATGATGCACGGCGGTAAAAGGGTTTGCCGGTATGATGCACGGCAGTAAATAAGAAAGGAAAAGATATATATGCTGAAGCAGAGCCCTCGGATCGAGAGCTCTGATACCAAATTGAATCTGAATATTATTGTATATTCAAGTGTGTATAACTGTACAAGAAGGCTCTCTATTTATAGAGACTAAAAGACCTAATGGGAAGACCTAATGGGCCAAGCCCACAATCTAGACTATTCTAATAATAATAGATTAATATTATTTCTAACAAAGTTCAATAGTGGGGAACATCAAAAACTATAAGTTGCATTAAAAAACAAAACTACAAGAGAAATGAGAAGAATTAGGCTGCATTTAAGATTGATGTTGTAGCATTGTTGGTTGACAACCAAGAATTCTGGTGCTATAAAGCTCTTGCTCTACATAGGGTCCAGGGAAGGGTTAGACCTATTGTGTGGATCTATAGTAGACCGCTTTACCTTAAACTTGTATGACAATAGAAGGGGAGCCTAGGCTCAACGGCTGATTTTGCTGCCATATGACCTGGAGGTCACAGGCTCAAATCATGTAATCAGCTTTATTGCCCTTTATCAAATGATAAATTGTTAGCATGAGGAACATGATCTTAGCTGACATAATTCTATACAGAGAGCTAAATAAAAATAGTCTCAAATGTTTAGTTATATACTCACCAACCATGATGTTTCATTTTGAAATGCTGGCTTGATATCCAAATTTTCTGGCCGAATAAACTGTTGAATCAAAGCCATCTTCTCAGAAAGTTGGTCATCAAGTTTTACATCATCCGGAAGTGAAGCAAATACACGAGCAAACAACTTCGTCATGACATACTTCTCAAGCCCCTGTATATGATAAAAAACCAGAGGTAAAGTGATCAACCAATATAGAAAGCATTATATAGCAACAGAATTTTACCAAGAGAAGAACATAGAACAATGTTTTCTATGAGTAACAAAGTACATAGATTGGCTAACATTCAGTTCTCTAGTTGAGAGAATTCATGTTAAATTCCAGAAAAACCACACGAACTATGAAACCTATTCAAAGAATGAGCTTTCTTAAAACTACTTTTCTCGCATAAATGGCAGGGATGCGTGTTTAAGACTTAAGTTGACAGACAGAGTGGCTAAATAAATTACTAGTAAGGTGAAATAATACACGTGCCTTAAACTTCCTTGCTTATTATCCAAAAACACTTGTATAAACTAGAATATACACATCATGCATCATCAAACCTAAGTTTCATTGTTAGGTTGATATCCAGGACAGTCCAAGATTTATTTACCTATATTTTAACCGGATGATACTAGCCTTTTATATGTTGGTTAATGTAAAGAACCAATTCAACCCAAAAGCTTAAGTTTATGGGTGAAGCTACATTAATGGCTTTATATATCTCAACACGCCCCCTCACACGAGAGCCCACTGGGCTTGAAGGGTGGACAATGCACAGGCCCACCTATCTGTGCGAACAAAGAAATTCCACTTGAAAGAAAGTAGAGGGCGGCGAGGATCGAACCCGGGCACGAGGCTCTGATACCATGTAAAGAACCAATTCAACCCAAAAGCTTAAGCTTATGGGTGAGGCTACATTAATGGTTTTATATATCTCAACAGTTAAAATTTTTTTACATAAATTTTATGTGAGATTCAGAAGTGTACGAAAATAAAAATAATTTTATTCATTTTGATTTTTTCTGTCATATTAGACCTTACATCCCTAAAATGCCTTCTTCGATCAATCCCAATTATTAAGTCTCATTGTATGGTCGATGTCCAGGGCAAACCATTTTGCAAGCCAATACTCACCCAAAAGGGATTAAATAATAGAATAAAAGCACAAGCATTTCTGACAATACTGAGGAGCACGAAAGAGTCAATGTTAAGAAGGCTAAGGGGAAAAATGAGAACTAACAGTGATTGAGAAATCGATTAGTTTATGCTAGCATAATATTGCTAGTAGTAAATATTGTTTTGTGAGTGTTATCTTTTAAGTGAAAATATATAGTATTGGAGCAAATCAGCAAAATGATTATCCCAACTATGCGTCTACAAGTTAGTAGATCCTACATTTAAATTAATAGACTGTATAATAGAGCATGCCAATGCCAACACCAGTGAGTAGTCACAGATTTGAAATTACGACACACATTTTCCACAGATTTCGATATATTTTCAAATTATTCACACTTCCCATAATAAAGTTAACATTTTCAAATCATTTGAACAATACATGAATATGTCCCTTGGTGAGATTCTAAGATGAGGATTCAGATGAGATCATTTTCACTAGCTTTCTGGTGTTCATGAACATGTCAAATTCAATTTTTTATGAAAGAAAAAAGCTAGACTCATCATTTATGGTGATAAGACCTCTCACTATCTGCAACAATCCCAGAACCGCAATTTATTAATCCGTGCTATACTGCTATTGGCAGGCTAGGCTTCCTTAACATGATGCGACATTGCAGCATTCATTGTTATACAGCACTTTTTTCACCAAGGTAGATATATGCGGGAATGGAATCCCAACTGGTGGACTAATTTCTGTCTTCTATTCTAATTCTTATTTACAATTTTATTTGTGCTTCATAGAATTTTATTCACCATTATTGAAAAAGAAAAACCTAGAAATGTCCTTCAGAAATTGGACATGGGAAGAGAAATGGTTGTAGTAATTGTATGGATAACCCAATTCAATCATCCCAAGATCCAGGGAAGCGGCGAAAACTGCAATGTAAATATAGTGCAAGTCACCAAGTGAAACAAAATGGAATATTTGTTAGTCATATAATCTTCTTTCCCATTATTTCTATATTTTCCTTTTATATGAACCACAGTTAATTATTGTAAAAATTCAAATATCTTAATTTATGGATAAAAAGGTAACAAAACAAATAGTATGATATGTGAAGACAGAGCAGCAAGTCGAAAGAGCACGTTATGTTATAACATAGAGTTAAGCAGAAACTGACTTCACCGGCACTTTCAAGCTCCTCCTCAGAGCAGCCAGACCAAAGTGGATGAGCCTTGAAAGCCGCTTCCATATTAGCAAGGAACTCTTGAACCGCGGCACTGTCCCTCTCAGGATCAGGAGCATTATTTGAAAACGAAACAATAAAACTGCAAATGCCACTTGATTAGGGTTCCAATTCCAAAGTTTGTCCTAACCTAAAGCTAAATCATAATCAAGGTATAGCATAGCACCAGAGTGGCTTATGAAACCACAAATAAAATTGAAGATAAATCTGAAAAATGAAACGAAAAACCTTTTGATTGCTTTGACGAAATCAGCGGCGGAGGGTTGCCGCATGCGCTCTAGGAAGTCGTGTAAGCCCAAGAAAACGTCGGCGTTTTCCATTCTCCGCCGCCTCAGCCTGAGCCCTGAGTGTTGTGTTGTGTTGTGTTGCAGTTAAAGTTGCTGCTTCTGCTTCAGCTTCAGCTTCGTCTTCGTCTTCGTTGACAACACAAGACGAAGAAGCGATCCAGTACAATTACCATCTCATTCTCACATCACTCCACCAAAATCAAAACATTTTATTAAACAGCTTTAGTTCTTATTATAATTGTAATTAAATTCTTCTATTAATATTTATTCCAATAATCATATAAAGAAAATTTGTTTAACAATATTCATATGTACATATATGACCACAGTAATAATCACATTATAATTAGTAAAAATCATTTTATAATTAGACTTTGGTGTTAAGTGTTAACCATCATTCCAACAGCTGTTTTTTATTTATTTATTATTGATCTGATTCCCAACAGCAATTTTATAATATTAATAATTAGCATCTTTCGTTAAACTCAAAGATCCATTTAAGAATCTTACAGATTAATTAATCGCGCTTAATTATGGATTAACATAACAAATCTACCCTAAAGATAGTAACCATAAAACTATATTATAAGGGGGCGTTTGGTACACGGGATTCTTCAAGAATCCCGGAAAATTAAATTTTTTTAAATTTTAAATTTACGGATATTATCATAAACTGAAGGTAAAAATCATGTTTTTGAAAATTAAGATTTCCGGCTAAAAAAAAATTTCTCCTGTACCAAATGCCCCTAAGAGAATTCATTGTAACAAACATAATTGTGGAAAGAATTATCATTTTGTTTCAAATACAACCAATAAACGTAATTGAATCACTATATCATTTTCATTTTACAAAAACTTAGAAGTTACAAACACCAAGTTTAGAAAGACAAAGATGTAATCATACATACTTAAAATTCGGATTTTACTTAAAATCGGAATAAGAATAAAAAATCTTAAAATGTAACATCCTAACATAAAAAAAAATCATAAAAATATAAAAACATTTAAAATTTTGATGAAATTGTTTTGATTTAAATAGTAAAAACATGATTTAAATAGGAATTTTAACTACTATGAATGTAATGGTGTTAGTATAAACATAATTAATACTAAAAATAAAAATAAAAAAATAAATAAAAAGGGATTAATATTTCTTATTTCATAATAAATAATTTCAGGCTTTAATGTTTCTACAGCAAATGAAAATAAATTATTTATATTTATTCCTAAAACGACATTATTTTTGAAAGATTAAAAAATTATAATGAGAAAGACTATTACAACCCTAAAATAAATTATAATTACAAAAATACCTTGATTTTCGTTCCAAAATAACATTATTTTAGACTCAATGTAAATGATTTATTTATATTGACTACATAAAAAATAAATCCATAATTTTATCTTTTATACACATATAAAAGTATGTGAGGTCTATAATTTTTCTTTTCTTTTCTCCTCACACGAGCATACATGGATTTCACATATTTTTATATGTGTAGGAATAAAAAACAATAATTCCAAATAAAAATGTTTTATGAGTATAATGTTGAGTGACCTAATTTTTTTTCCTACACACATCAAAGGGATGCGTTCCACATGTTTTTTTTCCTCTTTCATTATTTTATTTTTTTCTCTTTTTTTTGTTGTTGTGTGTATAGGAAAAAAAATTTTGGTCACCGAACATTATACTCATAAAACAAATAAAAATATGGAAAAAAATGTTTTTACTTTTAAATGACACAACTTATGTCATTTCACTCTCATAAAGAGATAAGACCCACATTTTTATATTCTTTTGTCTATTCTCTCTCCCCCATAATCTATTTATTTCTTTCACTTGAAAATAATATAATTTTATATCTTTAAAATGAAACAATTTTCCCTCAAAATATTCAGTTGTAAATCACTAAATAAATGTGAAAAAAATGTATATCATTTTAATTTACGCAGTTTACATCATTCCACTCTTCTACTGACCACACATTTAAAACTTTTCTCGTCTATTTCTCTCGCTTCAAATTACACAACGTTATATCCTCCAAAACGATACACAATTTTCCCAATAAATGTAGTGAAGCAAGTGAGAAGGTACCACTCCATTTCCTATTCTTGTTTCCAAACGCGTAAAAATGAAGAGGAAAAGTTCGAGCAGTGGTAAAGTAAGCTCCAACCTCAGACACATGCACACCAACCATAAGGATTAAGGAGAGTGTGGAGGTAATTCATTTGAGTGTATAATGGCAGGTGCAGCGTCTTCCTTTGCTTATGATGTCTTTCTCAGCTTTAGAGGAGAAGATACTCGCTTTGGCTTCACTGGCAATCTCTACAAAGCTCTTCAGGACAGGGGAATCCGCACCTTCATCGATGACGTTGATCTTCAAAGAGGGGATTCAATCACGCCATCACTTGCCTCCGCAATTGAAAACTCCGGGACTGCCATCATCGTCTTCTCTAAGAACTATGCATCTTCCTCTTTTTGTTTAGATGAGCTTGTCAACATCATTGCCTGCATCAAACAAAAGGGTCGATTGGTTTGGCCCGTTTTTTATGACGTGGATCCTTCGGATGTGAGGCATCAGAGAGGTAGCTATCAAGAAGCACTGTCTCTTCATGAGGAGAGGTTCAAGGATGACACTGACAAGCTCCAAAAATGGAGGATGGCTCTGCGTCATGCAGCTGACTTGTCCGGCTATCATTTCAAACTTGGGTACCTTCTATTTTATTTGTTTCATTTATTTATTTATTTCATTTTTCATTTTTCAAACTCTAATGATTCAAGGTTAAAAAAGAAAAAAGAAAAAAAGAAAAATGCTTTTAATTTTAACCTTGAACAAATTAATTCATTGTATATCAAACATTTTGAAGACTTATATAGGGTGTATGATTTTACTCTAATTTCTACGATTGGACAGGGATGGATATGAATATGTGTTTATTGATAGAATCATTCAAGAGGTCTCCATCAAGATTAATCGTGCTCCTTTACACGTTGCCGATTACCCTGTTGGACTAGAGTCTCGAGTGCTACAAGTAATGGAGCTTCTGGATGTCAGCTCTTACGGAGTCCACATGGTAGGGGGATTCATGGTATTGGGGGCATAGGTAAAACAACACTTGCTCGAGCAGTTTATAATTTGATTGCTGGCCATTATCCCAATTTGTGTTTTCTTGAAAATGTGAGAGAAAATTCAAATAAAGGGCCGACCTAGTTCAAATACCCACTTCGTAAGTGTCTGAGGAAGGGAATACTCTAGGCAGTCTTTCCCCTGCTTTTTGCAGAGAGGCTGATTCGAACCCGCGACCTGACACACCACGGCATAAAATATCTCCAAGAGATGCTGCTTTCTAAACTAGTTGGAGAGAAGGATATTACATTTACAAGTGTCAATGAAGGAATTTCAATAATAAAGCAAAGGCTACAACAGAAGAAGATTCTTTTGATTCTTGATGATGTTGACGCACTAAAGCAGTTGCATGATATGGTTGGAGGACCTAATTGGTTTGGTCCCGGCAGCAGAGTCATCATTACCACTCGGTACAAATGTCTGCTAGCACATCACGAGGTTGAAAAAATATATGAAGCAGATGGATTAAATAAAACAGAAGCTCTTGAATTGTTTAGGCGGAATGCTTTTAGAAGTAATGTAGTTCATGCAAGTTTTGAGGACATTACAAACCGTGCTGTGACTTATGCTTCTGGCCTTCCACTGGCTTTGGAAGTAATAGGTTCCTACTTGTTTGGAAAAAGTGTAGAAGAATGGAAATCTGCATTAGATGGATATGAAAGGATTCCTAATGAGGATATCCGAAAAATACTTGAAGTAAGCTTTGATGCTTTAAAGGAAGAAGAGAAGAGTGTTTTTCTTGACATTGCTTGCTGCTACAAAGGATATAAATTAATAGAAGTTGAAGATATACTTCGTGCTCATCATGATAAGTGCATGAAACATCACATTGGAGAGCTGGTTGGAAAGTCTCTCATGAAGATTAGTAAAGATGGTGAGGTGACATTACATGACTTGATAGAGGACATGGGTAAAGAAATTGTCCGACAAGAATCACCTAAAGAACCTTGGAAACGAAGTAGGTTATGGTACCATGAAGATATAGTTCAAGTTTTAGAAGACAATATGGTGAGTAAGACTGAGATGATTGATTTGGTTTTTCATCTTGAGCCTTGATTTATCTCTTTGACTATTATATGCTCATTGAGGATATTAGTTCACAATTTTTTTCCTTTTATAATAAGTAAATTTCTCTAAATATGTTTTGTGTCTGACTGTTGCTTTTTGTGTTCAAAAGGGAACTAGTAATATTGAAACAATATTTCTGCATTTCCCCGAATCTAAAGTAGTATGCTGGGATGGAAAGGCCTTCAAGAAGATGCCAAACCTAAAAACACTTATTATTAGAAATGGTCATTTTTTGGAATGTCCTGAACAACTCCCAAAGAGTTTAAGAGTGCTGGAATGGTGGCAATTTTCTTCACGGTGTTTGCCATCTAATTTTGATCTAAGCAAACTTGTCATACTCAAGTTAACAAAGAGTTCCTTCATGTCACTCGAGTCCAAGCGATCTTTTCGTAGGCATATGCCGGAGGCAAGTATAATAGGTTCTTTTCTCTTTATATTAAGAAATTCATTTTAAGATTATTCCTTTGATTCTTGTTTCTTTCTCTTTCTTTTTATTCTATTTTTTCAGAAGTTGGTGAATTTAAGAGTTTTGAATTTCAGCGAGTGTAATAATATAGCAAATACACCTGATGTATCTGGTTTCCCAAATTTAGAAAAAGTATCATTTCAAGGATGTAAGAATTTAATCAAAATTCATGAATCGATTGGATTCCTGGATAAACTTGGAACCTTGAATGCTTTTGGTTGCATCAACATTAGAAGTTTTCCACCTATCAAGTTGGCTTCTCTTAAAGAACTCCACCTTTCATATTGCCGGAGGCTTGAAAATTTTCCAGAAATATTAGGAGAGATGAAAAACGTAACAGAGCTATATTTGGAGTGCACCCCTATAAAAAAATTGCCACTATCAATTCGAAATCTTACTCGGCTACAAAAGATAGAACTGTATAAATGTGGTCCGGTTCAGATAGAACACCCAAGTAGCATTATCAAGTTACCAGAACTTGAGGAACTGAGTCTTTGGGGATGTGAAGTGTTGAATTTATCTAAAGAGGATGAAG